TTTGGACACCAAAGTGCCAGGGGCAGCTCCTCATTACATTTTCTGCTCTTTTGGAGCATTCACATATTCTCAAATCTGCATATGGCATCGTGTGTGTGTGTGTGTGTGTGTGTAAAACTGTGTGATATTTCAGGTGCATGGCAGACTCCTCCTGGTTTCAGAATTACAATTTTCAGTAGTGTGGTGCCTTTGGCAGCACTGGAATCCTTGGCAAGAACTGACTAAGAACTCAAGAATTGCTTTAAAACTTAATTTCTTTGCACTGCTTTCCATAAGATCATCCTGACAAATAGCAGGACACTCCTGCCTTGTTCTAGAGAGGTGTAAATGTGAAGGCACTTTAAAAAAAAAAATCATTATCTAATCTTGCCTTCCATAAAATGTAGTATTTCACCTGAACAAATTTTTATTTGATATTTAAACATATTCTCCTTCAGCACTGATGGCCCTGGTGATTGGTATAAAAGGAAGACCAATGAGAATGGATTAGATACTTTAATTGGCATTTTCAACATTGTCATTTTAAGACACTACCATTCTAGATTTTAATAATACACTTCATTTTGCTCAGACATCCACTTTTTTATTAGAATATGTTTTTCTTGAAACAAAACAATGAAGAAAGAGTAAGTTTTTTCATAGATTTTAAGTGCTTAAATCGATGTAAACCTGTGGAAAGTGATACATCTCCTCTACTAAGTGCCAAGGGCCATTTTTGGGGTTTCTTAATTAATATATTTATTTTCCATCGAACATCTGTCACCCAAGCTGAGTTTCATTAGTTCATGGAGAGTTATCTCTGCCATGCACTGGTGAGGGGCCTGGCGTGCTCCTTCTGGCTTTGTTTTTGTTCATTTCTGTTTGTTCGTTTTGGTGCCTCTCTTGTCTGTTTCTTTGGGGTGTTTGTTGCATTTTTTCGGGGTTTTTTTTATGTTTTGTTTTGGTTTTTTTTTCTTTTTCTCATCAATGAGTGCAAAAACAGGAAGGAAGCAAATGCTGCTCCAAGGGCCTGTGGAGGCTGAATCCTGTCAGATATGGAGAGGGGGAAGAAACAAGATTCTTAGACACATGTTTTCAGTGAAACATCGGTAGCATTAAAATCACATTCTTCATGACCACAGCTGAGATTTTGGGAAGTCAGTCAGTCTTCCTTGCACGCAGGTCCCCTGAGACCCCTGAGATTTGATGCTGAGCAGACTAATTTATTTTTGATGCTGCACTCAGAAAAAATGTTATTTTCTTTTGGAGCTTGCTGTTCCTTTGGATAATTTTGTGGACTTCTTGTACAGATTTTCTATAGGGATACTGCCATATACATCTAATTTTATTCCTATGTATATGAGTATAACATTTTATTTGAATGTTAAAAAAAATTCACATTAATATAAACTTAACACAACATTTAATATAATGCAAAGCTAGTGTTATGTGTCATAAGATGTAACATTGCATAGCAAGCTGTTACACTGGATCTGCCTAAGCCAAGATATTTATGCTTCAAAATTCAGATTTTTTTTTTTTTCCCCAGACCTGTCAAGGTTTCTGCCATTGTAACAGAAATAACCAGGAGTCTGGCACAGATATTCAGATATTATCCAAGCATTGCCTTTCTGCATTATCTCTCTTAAGTTAATGTTGGATGACATGTCACCTGATATGAGCTTTCCAAACCTGCCTGTGTCTTCTTGGGGTTTTTTTTATCCTACTTATGTCATTCAGTATTATTCCCCTCTAAGAAAACCAAAATTAAATTTTCCCAAGTGAACATCATATTTTTTCTGAAGAAGATAAAATCCAACATCTCTCCTGCCATATATCTTATTCTATTTTGTGAATGATGCATTAAAAGGGGAAGGAAAGCTTTGTGAAAAATGTTTTAAAGCTGTAAAGTAATTTACAGCTTAAGGTCATGCAGTGCTGTTACCAGACCATGACTTGGGGATGTCTGTGACTTTTTTGGGGGCCTTTTTTTTTGTTAAATGGCAAAATGGCAAAAGGGATCCACCACCCACAGCAGTGAGTCAACAGCTTCTGCCAGCCCAGCTGAACAAGGCAACTCCATCTTACCCCCTCCCCACTCCTCTGAAACCAGCAAAGAGAAAATTACAGATAATTACCCTTGGGATGAGTCACTATATAAATAGATTTTTAAAATAAATGTGTTCAAAATCACTGCTGATGGGGAAAAAAAAAAAAAAAAAGGTGGTGTCATGTAGGAAATTTTTGGTGCGGTAATTTAGTGTATTTCCTTAAGAAGTGGAAAGCAGAGTGCTGATACTGTATTTGAGCTGGTATGATAAAGCAAAAGTAGATGTATTCTTTGACTACTCAAGGTCTTACTGAAGGCTGTTTTTTTAAACATGGTTTCTTAATCTAAAGAGAGGTAAAAATATCCTGTCACAAAAAGCAAGAGATTAATTTTTTCTAGAAGTCTGTTTGAATTGTGAACAAGTTCATAACTGCATTTTCATCTCCATTTTTAATACCCATCTTTATTTCTGTCTAGGATTAAGAAATACAGTATTGACAAGTAGGATTAGGTCTTTTTGCAAGAGCAGTTCTCACTAACTCTTAGTGAGACAGGAAAAGAACATAGTCTGTTCCTGGATGAGCTTAAACCAGCAATCAAATAGCCAAAATAATTTAAATAAACAGAAAACTAACAATGTTGGCATAGCCACCTTGTCATCTGAGTGATCTATTCAGCTGAGATTCAGCTATCCTGTTTTATTTGGATGTGTACCTAAGTGCAGAGTGGTCCCTCTGAAACAACCATCAGAGCAGCAACAGAATCCAGCTTTGAATTGCTAATGCTGCCATTCATCCTGATAATTAAGTCTCAGAATATTATTCAAATAGCAGTCTGAAGGAAACAGTTTCTGGAATAAATATTCCTTGTATAATTGGACAATTTTGTTTAACCGGTTTTAAAGCAGAGTCTCCAGTACTTTGAATTATTTTTCATTCAAGCAGCAGTAGAGCTAGAAGCTAATATGGATTTGGGGCATTTGTAAAATTTTGACTTCCTGCTTTCATGTTCTGTTCTGTCTGTGTAGTTGTCTCTTCCACTGGTACCCTGAGAAATTGCAACCTACTTTATTGACTTAATTTTTGTTTTGTTTATTTACTTCAGATTCTGTTTTTCTAAGATTTAAATATTCCAAACATTCTGTTCTGCGGGCTTGTTGTTTTTGTTTTTGTGGAGTTTGGGGAATCAGGTTTTTTTGCCTTTTATTTTGATTGGTTGATTGGTTTCTTTGGTTTTTGTGGGTTTTTTGTGTGTGTTTATAATCAGCTTTAATGTTGTTAAATTAATGATTTAGCTGATTAGTTCAAGTTTAAAACAATGGTGTGGTATTTTCCCTCTTTTCTTTCATTACCTTCAAATCCTCTACTACCACAAACACATTTTATTTAAATTCAGTTTAAGTAGTAAGAGAACAACTTTAAGTAGTAAGAGTAGCCTGATGTGATCTTCACATATGTACACTGCATAATGGATTAATCTAGTTTCAAAACACACGTTCAAACATTAAATAAGGAGTTACAGAAGACAAGGCTCTGCTAAGTACCATGTTTAGGCCATTTGAAATTATGTCTGACATAATGTTATAGGGTTTTGTTGGGTTTTTTGGTGTTTTTTTTTTTGGTTTTTTGGGTTTTTTTGTGGTTTTTTTTTTTTTATGTAGCCTTCTTTAGGGTTTATCTGAACACCAAACTTTAGAAATAAAAATCACCTGTTTACCTCCAATGACTGTGGCTAGAGACAAGATGGTTGGCTGGTGCTTGAGAGAGTAATTCATTATTTCCTCTCGATTAGATCTGACAGTCCCCAAAAGGACACCATGCTACCCTGCAATTAGGAATAACTGATGTGTTCTGTGCTGGTTGCTGCATACAGTTGCATACAGAATATTGTGCTGAATTAACCAAGGTTTATGTCCCCTCTCAATTGCACTTGGTGTTGACAGGGTTTTTTGCCAAGAAAAGGGAAGGTCTTCCTGCTCCTCTCCTAGTTTCTCCCTGCATAAAACATGGGGTGATAGCAAAAAGAAAGAAAGAAAAAAAAAAATTCAATTTACCAAGCGTGGTGGTGGTCTTTGAGGAAATATTTGAAATTTTTTGGCCAAGCCCTGTGCAAGCTCTGTCAAGGTGGATCAACACCTGCTATGGATGAAGGAGTGTTGTCTGAGATTGCTCTGCAAGAAATCAAAACAGGAGGAGCTTCCATTTTAACTGGCAGCAGGCAGTTGTTAAAAGAGAAAAAGTAAAAGCATGGATACACGTGTTTAATGTCTCTAGAGGGTCTCTATATCACATTTATGGAGAGTTCGCTCGCTTCTGGGTTCCTTTTACAGTATCCAAGTGAGAAACACTTGAATTCAGCTTTTACTGTCATCCAAAAGTTTTTCAAGGCTGTGAAGAGGCTGTTTTTGTGATGCATGTGTATATAAACCACACTGACTAAAAGAAGAGAAAGAATTAGGTCACTGATGTACTTTTAAAATGCACTTTTGCTGGGAATATGTCTGTTTCCTTCTTTTGAATGTGAGGGTAATAGATAGTCCAGAGCCATCAGTGCTTTTTGATGGTAACTTAAGGCAATTTAATGGTTATCTGTCAACAAAAGGGAGAGGTGAAGACAGGATTTTTATTGCTTTTCCCAGAAAAATAAACATCTGGAATGGAGAGCCCACGTGCACACACAGCCCACCCCAAAACTGCCACTTTGGCTCCCTGACTGCTCAATTCCAGAATCAGCAATTCCCAACAGGCTGGGAAGAATCTGAGTGGAACAGAAGGGGTGGAGGATTATGAGAATAAAGATTTTGTTCTATCTAATTGCTTTTATGTTAAGAAAATGCAAATAATACAACCATTAGCATTACATGGATTTCTTCATTTGTATTTTTTCTCTTTTTCTCTCTCTCTTTCCCTTCCTTCCTCTTCCCATTCTCTATCCCTGCCTCCCTCCCCACTCCTGACACCTTTTTGCACAGCCTCCATTGAAGAGGACCCAACTTCAGCAGGTATGAATTATTCACATTGTGGTAACTGTTTCTTGAGAGCTGCCTTTACCAAAATCATTTTAGCCCATTTCATTTTGTGTATAACTCGGTAAATATCACAGTTGGGATGGATCTTCTTCTGTCTACTCCCCCTTCTTTTTTTTCTCCTTCACCTCAACTTGGAGTCAGTAGGAAACATAATCCTCCTGTAGCATTTAAAAATATCAGTGGCATATTCCTTCCTTCTTCCATGCTTAAGCTGGCATGTCAAGCCTCAGATACAGAATGATTCAATTAGGAGCTGAAAAAAAAATCAGTTTGTTGGTTTTGGTTTTTTGGTTTTTTTTGGAAATGTTAGGTTTTTCTCTGTCTTTATGCTGGCAAAACTCAGTCACCTGGATGATGCCCCAAAACTGACATCCTTTAAAGATCTGGGAACAAGCAGTGAAGGAAAGGAAAAGAAAGCCAGCAGATGCAGAAGCATCGTGCTCAAAGAAAACATTCTCCAAACGATGGCTGGGGTATCTGCTCAGAGATCTTTTATTTCCATTGACAAGCTGCCAAGCAGTGAGAATGGTTACCATCACAGTCATAAAAATTAGTTTAGGAGCTCCCAGAGAGACACAAGCGCATCGTGTTTATTTTATTGTGAAGATTAACTATTTCTAATTAATTGGCAATCCATTAGCTGGGGAGTATTTAAAGAAAAAAGAAGACAGTGTACCAGAGAAGAATGCCACTGAGCAGCCTAACGTATTTGAAATGGCACTGAGTTGTACAAACTCAGCGAGGTAAAACATCAAATAAATGGGGAATCACTTTATAGTGGCTTGTTAAAAGAAGGAAAGGCCTCCAGAGGAGCAAAAGAGAAAAGGTGAGGAAAGTGAATGAAGAGAGGAAGATGGCAAGGAAGGATTGAACAGTGTTTACAACGCTAACCTACAACTTGGGAGCAATATAAGTAATTAGGATACAGCAGAGAATAATAAATGAAAGGACAGAGAACAAAGCCAAGAGTAGAATGTGAGAGAGGGAGAGCAGCAGAGACTAGAACTGAATACAGAAAGAAGCAAAAGGGAGCTTTAAACATGAATGTAGCAGCAAAATGAGCAGGAAGGAGGACTGAAATGAGAAATAGCACTGCAAAAGAGAGAAAAAAGAGGAATTTGGGGAAAATATGTAGAGTAGTCACACATCCCCATGGATCATGCATTCTAATTACTAAACATCAACTTTAACTCTCAATTTCTTGAGAGATTTGTCAGACTTGGAGTTTTCATGGGAAGTGTTTTAGCAGAAACCTACTGCAGCCATTCAACAGAAACATTAGAAAAGGATGGGGTTTTTTTACTTAGGAAAGAACAATACCCCTAGCCTTTTTCCCTTTAGGGAAATGGTTTCAATACACACATTTTTTTCTGCAGCATCTCCCAAAAATCATGGCCTCTCTCCTTGAACACCACTGCTATTTTTGTGAGAGCTCCTAACTGTGATCTGGCCAAGCTACCCAGGTACATCAGCTGAAAATGTTCAAGTGGAGGGAAGAGGAATTTATAACACAGCCACGTGGGCTGAACTATATGATTTATAAGAAGAGAAAAATCCACGTATAAAGTGCAACCTAACATTAATTTCTACCTTAAAACTTTAGAAGCAATGCTAGGTCTTCAGATCCTCCATAATTTATAGTTACTATTGATTTTGCTGTAAGATATGACCAGATGTTGCTGTTTTGAAAGTAACAGATTAGTTCTGCACTCTTACAGGATTGTTTTAATACAACTTATTTCTCAGATTGTATTGGCATTTCTAAAACTGTGAGTTCTGCTTAAAGCAAATTCCCTTCCCTCAGGGTAGGAATGCAGCCATGCAGTTTGGAAATTGCAGGGGTGCAGAAAAATAAAAAGAAACTGCATTCAAAACCTTGTGCACCCACCTAGAGCCTTTCAGTGGTAGGTGCCTGGTAGAGGCAGTTTTATCCCATACCAGATTTTGCTCTTTTTCACAAAAAAAATTGCAGCAAGTTTCCCCCAGTTCATGAAATTTATCTAATAATTATTCATACACGTAGTAATTTTCCAACAAATGTCTTCACTTATGAAACACCATGAGCTAGGATAAATTGCATCTAATATTTTTATGAAGATTATAAACATTATTTCCACATCTTATGAAAATTACAAGCTTTTAACTGACCTGTGATCAGGACCAAAGCTAAAATTTCCTTTCTTCTTTAACCAAAGGGATGAAACACTGCTATTTCCCATACTCTGCTTTTTGGGATAGGGTCTAGCTGCTCTGACAATGACATCTGAGAGGAATTCTGTAGAAGCAAAGTTTCAAAATTTAAAATTTTACTTTGAATGTTGCAACCAGTAAGATGAAGATTGTAATCCTGTAGTAATAAGAACCCTGAAGTTATCTCTCTATAGAAATGTTATTTCACTGGAGTTCCTTGAGTTTCAGAATGCTTCAGACTAATTTTGAACTCTAATTATAACCCCATGTTTTTCACCCAAGTTGCTTTATAAGGAAAGATAAACCCTGGAATTTTTTCAGGTACTCCTTACAGTTTCCATAAAGTTTTCCCTTGGGTAAGAATTGTTCTAGATCTATTTTTTCTTTCCAGTTAAATACCTATGATTTTATGTCATTGTGGATGTCTTAACACTATTTTGAGTCACTTCGCCATATTTCTTCATTTGTTTTGACTTAAAATCAAACCTAATAAAATAATTTAATAAAATTATTGTTTAATTAAATAATTATTGAGTAAAGCTAGGAAAATCCTCAGGAAAATTCTCTCTTTTCCACGTGTTTATCCCAGCAATATGTGACATGAGTTTTGGAAAACTGTTTATTGAGCCGGGAGGAGACTCCTTTGTTGACAACTATTTTTAAAAGCCTAATATACCAAGAAACTCCTGCTGGATGTCCTGCTGTTTGAAGCTTTTCATCCCAAAAAGTGTTTCCCCGTGGTTTTATGGATTGCCCCCCATGTCTCCTCAAAGAGCCTGGAGTAGTTTCTACAATTATTAAAGAGTAATTCTTCCAACACCTGATGAGACAGAGCCCAGCAGTTTGTTCACTTGTCTCCACACAGTGGTTTTGGCTGAGGTAATAAATAAATCTCCTTTGAGATCATCACTTAACTGGAGCCATTCCTTGCCTCTGTCAATTTTTTTAATTTTTTTTTTTAATCATAATGTTTTAAGAAATATGGCATTTTCATCTTTGCATCCCATCTACATAACATATGCAAAAACATTTAGAGTTTCATGGTAAGAAAACTCTTTCACAGGGTGAGTTTTGCTATTGTCTTACTTAAATTTAGGTGTTGTAGAGATTAAAGATTCACTACGTGACAGGGCCTCCTTCTTCAAAGACATTACTAAAAAATAATCCCTTCAACAATCTCGTGGCAGAGTATGTAAGCTGCACTGAATTTTTGTGCATCTAAGGAAAATTATATTACCCTTCCAAAATTCCATGTGATATCTAACTCATTCCCTGGTTATTTAGAATTTCAACTTATATGAAAGTTATTTTAGCACGTTTTTCTTAAAGAAGAAAATAAAATAGTGGGGGGGGGGGGGAAATCACTTTTGAGAAAGAATAAAAGCTGAAAATGTCTTATCAAATGAAAAAGACTTCTGCTGTAAAAATCTGTAGAATTAAGTTTATTCCATTAAAGGAAATTAATAGAATTTTAGAAAATAATTACAATGGAAGACTGAAAGTTCCAGGATGAATAATTACAGTTATCAAAAATTCATGAGAAATAGAGATCTAAAACTATTGAGAGTTTACCCTTACTTACTTACCCATTACCCTTACTCTAGGAACATGATATTAAGCACTACCTGAAATCTAAATTCCAGAATAAAAATCGAAGCACAATTTACATGCTTTGTTTTGTTTCTGCTAGGAGAACTCCAGGTTTTTCTGGTGCTTCTTTTCTTCCCTCGGTCTCCTGTGTTTAAGAAAGTTTTAAAACAGGGATACGAAATCATATTTCCTTGGTGTTTACAGGGGTGGCACTGGATGGAATTTAAGGTCCCTCCCAACCCAAACCAGCCCATAGTTCTATAATTCAAATATTAGATAGATATTTCCTTGAACAGGTGAATATTGTAATCAATTTTTCCTTTTCTTTCCTTGCTTGATGTCAGAAAATTCTTTTTGCCATTTGGTGCTGCCTTGCTCATCAAAGAGCAGGTGAGATCCACTTGGTTAAAGCTCTTGTCACTTGTCCTTGTTTCTCAGAAAATGAGGCTAAGAATTGAAATTAAAAACATTTGAGATTGTACCAGCATTAATATTTACATGAAAATTATCCTTATATCCTTATATAATAACTATACCACATGTTTGTCCTTAAAATACTTAGCTGATGTAGGTTTGAAGTTGGGTTTCACAAAGGGTCTCCTCTGTGAAAATAATGCCCAGAGAGGCATTATTAAGAGAATTTTATTAATTGGGAAAAAAAAAAGAAGAAAAAGAAAATAAAAAGTGCCTTCTTTAATGGTTACCATGATGACTTTTGGACCTGGATGATTTTTTTGGTCCCTTCAAACCCAAACAATTTTATGATTTCATGAAGATCAGAAAAGAGAAACCAAACTGGATTTTCCTCTTTTTTTTTTTTTTTTCCCAAGTTATTGATATGAAACTTTAAAAATAAAAGCATGACATGTTTAATCTGCTTTCTGTGTCACCATCAAAGTATCAAGGATGTGTCTGGTCAGGTCTCAAGGACTTCAGTTTCCTGCCCACTGCACAGCAGGATCTGGAGTTGTGGTTTTGGGACAGCTCCCAGGCTGTCTTTGGGGCCACAGTGATTTTGCTGTGGTGTGCAAAGCTCTTCCATTTCACACATTTCAAAGAGGGAAATCATCTTCCAGAATTATTCTAAGGGAAAGGATTTGCCATTCCCCCAGGGACTGTACTACAGATTTACTGTCTTGCTGAACTTGGTTTACACATTTGTAGCAATTACTTTTCCTTTTTTCTTCTCCAAC